TGACACACACATGTACAATTTACATTTTTTAAACCCTCCTCCAGTTTCCTACCTTTTACTGAATGGTGGCTTTCCTGGGGTCCAATGTGGTGCTTGAGGCTGATGGGAGTGAGGAGCCCCTGTCCTTACTGCCAGCTCCTCACTCCTGCGCAGCTTGTCTCTCTCTGTGACAGAAAGTGACTCGCGGCTGTCACTTCCTCCCAGCCGGCTGCCGAAAAGCATGGGGCTCGGTCGTGCTGTTAAAAGGCCACATTGCCCGACCGGGCCCTTGCTAAAACAAGCCCACCGGGTGGCCCTAAGGGAATGTGCCACCTGGTGGCTCTCCTTAGTGTGCAGCCCCCGGCTCCACCGGCGGGCCCATAGGGATGGAGGCAGAATAAATAGATCAGGGCAGCAAGCCCACAGGGCAGCTTCCTTGGACCCCCAGGAGTAACTGGGCCCAGTGCAGCTGCCCTGTTTTCCCCGTGTTAAAGATGGCCCTGGTGATCAGGGGTTCTCATGCACATGTTGTTACGGTTGACCCCAGGTTGGCTGAGGGTTGGACTGCTTAGATGTCCTGATTCCCAATCCTGGAGAGAAGTAACACAGTCTCAAACAGCATCCAGCGATAATCCTGAAAGTGTAGACATCCAGCTAGCTATAGGAAGAGCTAGTATAACATATTTCCCTACAACACAAGTCGAGGCTGCGAGTTGAGGGTAAGAAGAACTGGTTTATTGATCATCACTCATGCACTGCTAAAATACATATTTTCAGGCCAGAGGAACACCATTCAGAGGACCTGATGGTACACAGGATGACAACGAGCAGCCACCAATGAGAACAAAGTGCATTTTTCAAAACACTCCCCTCTAGCCTGGAAATAATTGGTCTCATCAGTTACAGTAACTCAATTATCTCCAGGTACATGCAATAATACAACTTTTATGGTTACACGAAAAATGAATAATAATATATAACTTATACACCATAATGTTTAATAGTCACATTCAACCCATCCCCAGACAGATTGGATCTGAGCGCACAAAATACACGAAAAGCACTCAGATCTCACGAATGGTATGGGAATGCCATGGGGGATGAAAAATGTTTTTGAGGGCTGTTTGGCAATTAGCAGCCCATAGCTCCTCAGCAATAGTGTCTTGCAAGGGGTCGGTGTATTCTCCATAATATAAAAGTGTCGAATGGCATGATCTTCGGTGTTTTATACACAAATGAACAGGGCATGCTGAATCCCAGCAGGGTTCGCGGGTAATAGTATCCCAAAAAAGTACCAGGCGTCTGATGACCAGGTCCCGCTGGGTGTTCGGTAATAAAAGATGGCCGCCGCCACGTGTTCGACATACAAACGGCGACCACTCTGTCGACTGCGAATTAGGCTGCGGTTAACCATACAACCCCAGCTTCAGGGAGGATAATCAGGGGCACACTCCTCAGGTAGGGTGGTCGGCCGTTCGATAGTTTATTCGATATTCTGAGAGGTGAACAGAGTTAATTGGCGGCACACGACAGTGGCCAGGTGGTTGGCCATTCTTATGTACGAATGGCTTGCAACAGTTTCTTCGGTGAAAAGCAACAAAAGTAGCAAGAAAATAATAGAGTTGTAGCTAACAGAGGGGACTTTGTAACACACGTATACATTTATTTCTCTTGTTTTTATCAACCAAGTACTGTCCACTATATTTTTCATAAATATTTATGAAAATGTATGAAAAATTACTACTGTTTTGGACTTCCACTAAGCTAGGGACTATTTTGTCTTATGTATGGCTTAAACAAGGAGTTCTGGATGACACAGCGCAGAGTTGCATAGACCTTTGTAAGGCAAGATAAGGTGTTGCAAATTTCTTTGTAAGTCAGGGTAATGTGTTTACATTGTATTCATGTAGAGGTGGGTAGCCAGTGAAGTTGAAGTTTGGTTAGTGAAGCTACTGAAGACAAAAGTGGAATGAGAAATGCGATTTGGGCAGCAACATTTTCTATAGACTTGTGAAAGGTTTGACAAAGGTAGATATACGGCAGGTTGCTTCCACACTGTCATTCTCTGAAGTTCTGCCTGTGCATAACACTCAGAACGACAGGCGGATGCGTATTAGGGACTTTAATTTGTGGCTTGGTGAATGGTGTCGGGAGCAAGGATTTGGCTTTATTTCTCATGGTAGCTCTGTTTGGAATGGAATAAGCTGTACAAAAAAGATGGTTTGCATCTTTCTCAAAAGGGAACAAATGTTCTCAGTGAGCAGTTCAGAGGTTTTGCTAGGATGTATTTAAACTAGGAGGGGGGGGGCAAAAGGGTGATAAAACATCAATCCAATTGTCCCCCAAAACAAGGACAGAAGGTGCCTGTAGCAAGTGTGTTAAAAAATGATAAGCTTAGAGTCATGTCTACAAATGCTCGCAGTTTAGGGAATAAGATCCATGAACTTGTGGCAATAATGGCAACTGATAGTGTAGATTTAGTCGCTGTTACTGAGACATGGTACAATGAGAAAAATGACTGGGACATAGCAATACCAGGGTACTCTTTATATAGGAAAGATAGGGAAGGCAAGAAAGGGGGAGGGGTGGCCTTGTATGTGAAGGATAGCATAAAATCTAGCCTAATAAAAGTTAGTGAGGCAAACATAGAGTCCGTTTGGGCTACGTTAGAATTTGGTAATCACACAGTAACTTGTGTAGGTGTGATTTATAGGCCCCCAGGACAAATTGAAGAGTTAGATAATCTACTAGTTGAGGAAATAGCTAAAATGACAATGAAGGGGGAAGTTATCATCATAACTGAGTGAGTTTAATCTTCCCGATGTAAATTGGAAAACAAAATTAGCTACTTGTGCCAGGAGCACACATATTCTAAACTTCCTACTGGGATTGTCTCTAAAACAAGTTGTTGAGGAGCCAACTCGTAAGGAGGCCATACTAGATTTAGTGTTAACAAATGGAGATTTGGTATCAGATATTACTGTAGGTGAAAGTTTAGGATCCAGTGATCATCTGTCAGTGTGGTTTAATATAAGAACAGTGACTGAGTCACACCACACAAAAACAAAAGTTTTAGACTTTAGAAAAACAGACTTTTCTAAAATTAGAATATGGGTAGAGGAGTCATTATCAGACTGGAGCAATTTAAATGGAGTCCAAGAGAAATGGGATTATTTAAAAGTTGCACTATTGAAGGCAACAGAAAATTGCATTAGGCTTGTCAGTAAAAGCAAAAAATTAAAGAAACCACTGTGGTACTCCGCAGATGTGGCCAAAATAGTTAAAAACAAAAAGTTAGCATTTAGGAATTATAAAAAAACCCAGAGTGAGGAAGACAAAATGATCTATAAGATTAGGCAGAAAGAGGCTAAGCAAGTTATAAGAGCTTCCAAATCACACACAGAAGAGAAAATAGCACAGTCAGTAAAAAAGGGGGATAAAACATTTTTAGATACATAAATGAGAAAAGAAAAGTAAAACAAGGATTAGTTAGATTAAAAACAAAAGAAGGAAGGTATGTAGAAGAGGATAAAGGTCTAGCTGACTGCCTCAATGAATATTTTTGTTCTGTATTTACAGATGAAAATGAAGGAAAGGGACCTCAGTTGAGAAAAAGGATAAATGAGTCATTTATTACACGTGCGTTTACAGAGGAAGAGGTTCTATTTTCAACTGTCAAAAGTAAAGACAAATAAGTCAATGGGACCTGATGGAATACACCCAAAGCTATTAAAAGAGCTTAGTGGTGTACTAGCAAAACCATTAACAGATTTATTTAACCAATCATTGTTAACAGGAGTAGTCCCAGAAGATTGGAAGTTAGCGAATGTTGTGCCCATTTACAAGAAAGGTAATAGGGAGGAGTCGGGCAACTATAGGCCAGTAAGCCTTACTTCAGTAGTGGGGAAAGTGATGGAAACCATGTTAAAGGATAGGATTGATGAACATCTAAAACACATGGATTTCAAGATCAGAAACAACATGGGTTTACTTCAGGGAGATCATGCCAAACTAATCTTATTGATTTTTTTGATTGGGTAACTAAAATTATAGATCAGGGTGGTGCAGTAGACATTGCTTACCTAGATTTCAGTAAGGCTTTTGACACTGTTGCACATAGAAGGCTTATCAATAAACTGCAATCTTTAAGTTTGGATTCCAATATTGTTGAATGGGTAAGGCAGTGGCTGAGTGACAGGCAACAGAGGGTTGTAGTTAATGGAATATATTCGAAGCTTGGACTTGTCACCAGTGGGGTACCTCAGGGATCTGTACTTGGACCCATTCTCTTTAATATTTTTATTAGTGATATTGCAGAAGGTCTTGATGGTAAGGTAGGTCTTTTTGCTGATGATACTAAGATATGTAACAGGGTTGATGTTCCAGGAGGGATAAGCCAAATGACAAATGATTTAGGTAAACTAGAAAAATGGTCAGAATTGTAGCAACTGACATTTAATGTGGATAAGTGCAAGATAATGCATCTTGGACGTAAAAACCCAAGGGCAGAGTACAGAATATTTGATAGAGTCCTAACCTCAACATATGAGGAAAGGGATTTAGGGGTGATTATTTCTGATGACTTAAAGGTAGGCAGACAATGTAATAGAGCAGCAGGAAATGCTAGCAGAATGCTTGGTTGTATAGGGAGAGGTATTAGCAGTAGAAAGAGGGAAGTGCTCATGCCATTGTACAGAACACTGGTGAGACCTCACTTGGAGTATTGTACACAGTACTGGAGACCGTATCTTCAGAAGGATATTGATACCTTAGAGAGGGTTCAGAGAAGGGCTACTAAACTGGTTCATGGATTGCGGGATAAAACTTACCAGGAAAGGTTAAAGGATCTTAACATGTATAGCTTGGAGGAAAGACGAGACAGGGGGGATATGATAGAAACATTTAAATATATAAAGGGAATCAACACAGTAAAGGAGGAGACTATATTTAAAAGAAGAAAAACTACCACAACAAGAGGACATAGTCTTAAATTAGAGGGACAAAGGTTTAAAAATAATATCAGGAAGTATTACTTTACTGAGAGGGTAGTGGATGCATGGAATAGCCTTCCAGCTGAAGTGGTAGAGGTTAACACAGTAAAGGAGTTTAAGCATGCGTGGGATAGGCATAAGGCTATCCTAACTATAAGATAAGACTAGGGACTAATGAAAGTATTTAGAAAATTGGGCAGACTAGAAGGGCTGAATGGTTCTTATCTGCCGTCACATTCTATGTTTCTATGTTTCTATAGATAATCTAAAGATTGTTGTAGTCAAGAAAGGAGATAATGAGGCTGCGATAGATTTTTTTTGTGCTTCTTGACAATAATGTTGTTGGGTATCTTGAAAGTTGCCTTCAGCTTGCTTACCACAGTTTACTAATCACTGATCTAAATTAAGCATTAGAGCTGGGTGGTGTCCTTTTCCAGTCTAACCACCAGGAAAGTGTCATCACCCACAGTAATAGTATGGGGAAGTATTAAAAGTTCAGTATTTTGTTTCCTTTTTTTCTTTTGCCATCTGTTACTGGTATTATATTAGTGCTGATCTTGAATTTTTTAAACAAACATATTTTGCTTTACATTTCACCAATACCACCATAAAATAATATTGAAAATTATCATCTTGGAGTTCTCATCTATGGTTCTTTACTTTAAAATTATAAGCCATATTTTAGACCTAGAAATTTGTGCAAGTTCCGCACCCTCTTTTCTTAACCAATAGTAATCTTAGCAGAGTCAAGGGTTTTTGTATGTGTATTTTAATTTCAAAATTAACATTGAAATAAATAAATCAGTATATATTGGAGAGGCATCTTGTGTCACATTTTGCCAAGAGTTACCACTTACCTAAGACAAAGTAATCTCTATTTTGTCTCAAGTTTATCTTGTGATTAAAAAAGACATTTGAATGAAATTCCAAGGCAGTGATTTGAGTTTAAATTCTAACACAGTCATTATGATTAATTTTTTTAACAACGGATATATATATATATATACTCAAAAGTTACATTGCTACTTTATAACACAGATTACCTTCCAGGAGAAACACTGCATTTGACGACACTGAGAGGTAAGTCATGCGACCACACACAGAGCACTTGGCTTTAGGATGCGCTATAAAACACTTAAAAACAATATGTCTTTAGTCAAGATTTTACTATATTCCACAGACTTTGCTGAGTATCCAAAGTCAATGAAGATGAAACACTATACTTTGCATTCAGTACTTGCAGGTTCAGAATTTTGGAATACCTACCGAAGAATGTTTTTATTCTCACTTCTTCCCAATGTGCTGAATCAGGCACTACCTTATATTTTATGCGTTACGGAGAATATACATTACATCCAGTTTGGAAATTGTTCATACATAATAACCCAATTTGCTTGCTATGACTGTGCTTATCTGAAATCCTTTGGAGTAGATTTTGGGCACTATGTAAAACAGACTGCTAACTACAGCCAGATCAGAAATTATCCTAAAGAATAGAAACTTTCTTTATCTTTGGAGGGAAAACATTTTATTAAAAATTCCTCCTGGATTTCAACCTTTTACAGAATGCTAGAACATAGATAAATACTAATTAAAAAGTGCCCTAAAACTGTTTGAATAACCTTATGTTCAGACTTTAAGGAATACCATAGTGTCAGGAGTACACAAATTTATTCCTGACACGATAGTGTTTAACTAACTGTATAAGTTCACTTCCCCCATTTGATCACACAGGAAAGGTGTTATTGCTCACCTCTTTTCCCATGCTGCACCAGCCTCGCCAAGTATGGCTCCACCCTTGATGGCTGAGATACTCAGTCTTGATGATCTCAACCAATCCAATGCTTTCGCATATTAAAAAATTGGGAGGCTGTTGTACATGCTTGACAAAATGCTGTGCTGCACCAAACATTTTCATCCTTGTAGGTATGCATTTAATCAATGCACCTCTATGGGGAACGTTCATGCCTCCATGCAGAGCATAGAGATGCTGAATGCCAGTCCTGTGCACTATGCAGCACTGGACTAGGAAGCACCTCTAATCAGGGCCGGTGCTAGGATTTTTGACTACACAGGCGAAGATGCATTTTGACGCCCCCCCCCCCCCTCAAAAAAATAAACAATGCATCTTCACCTCTGTGTCTCGTAGCCCCCTTTTGAATTTCTTACCCCCATTAGTGTTGCATATCCACTCTCTTGAATGTCTTACCCCTTTGGCCCCTTTGTGCCTTACACCCCCCTTTAGTGCGTCTCCTACAACCCCTCTTATGTATTTCTTACTTCCCCGCCAGCCCCTTTCTGTCTCTTTCTTCCCTCCAATCCCTATCTATCTCTCTTTTTCTCCCACATAGACATAGATACAGGCAAAAATACATACATGCACAAATACACAAACATACAGACACACAACCATACAAGCACACAGACATAATTTTTCAGGCACACAGTCACAAAGATATACAGACACACAGTCATAAAAGGCACACAAACAAACACAGTCATACAATCTACACATACAAGTACATTGTCGTACAAACACAGACATACATTCATACAGACACAGGCACTCACAGAAATACATACACAGACATAAAGAAACAGAGATAGGCATACAGAGACATACATACACAGACAAACAAAGAACCCTGCACACTGACACTGTGTAAATGCTCCGGCCATCTACAGAGGTGGATGCTCCATGTCAGGCAGACATTGCTGGATCCACCAGTAAAGTCTTCAAAAGGAATAAACGCAGGCAACACTCCAATAGTAAGGATGGTATATTTATTGGTAGATGAACCACCCCATAGAAAGTGTGATGTTTCAGCTCATGCAATAAGGCTCTGCTGAGCCGAAACAACGCACTTTCTTTGGGGTGGTTCACCTATCAATAAATATACCATCCTTACTATTGGAGTGTTGCCTGCGTTTATTCCTTTTGAATACATTTACACAGTCATACAGAGACATACATGGTGTATGTCTCTGTATGACGGTCTGTGTATGTACACAGGATGGCTAAAAGATAGACCCCCATCTGTCGTGCAACTTCAACAATGCTTTGAAAGCTGGGGCTCTACCGATTCCCCATGCTTGCAGGATTGTATTTAGCATGGAGCAGTATTTGTGTGTTTGACTGTAAGCATGTGTTTGTTTGGAGTATGTTTGTATGATTGTAGCGGTGTGTTTGTATGTAGTGTTTGCATTTGAATGCAAGCATGCATTTATGTGTAGTGTTGGTTTTTGAACGCAGGTGTGTGTTTATATATAATTTTGGTGTCTGATACAGAGGTGTGTTTGTATGTAGTGTTGACATTTGAATGCAGGGGTGTGTTTGTATGTAGTGTTGACGTTTGCATGCAGGTGTTTATTTGTGTGTAGTGTTGTGTTTGAATGCTGAGATATATGCACATATACACATACACTGCCACACACGCACACACTGTGATACACATATACAAAGATACACACACTGACACATGCAGATATACATATACACAAACTGATACACATTCAGATAGACACACAGGTACACACAAACACTGACAGACATACAGATAAACACACAGTGACAGACACACATACACAATGATAGGGAAGAAGACATACTAACAGACAGACACACACACTAACAGACATTTAGATACACACAGACACACGGACAGAGACATATACATACACACACACACTGACAGACATGGATACACACACACACTGACAGACATAGATACACACACACACACACACACTGACAGACACACACACACACTGACAGACATAGATACACACACACTCACTGACAGACATATACACACACACTGACAGACAGACATATATACACACACACACACTGACATATACACACACACACACTGACAGACATACACACACACTGACAGACATATATACACACACACACACTGACAGACAGATACACACACACTGACAGACATATACACACACAGACACACTGACAGACATACACACACACTGACAGGTTATAGATACACAGACACACTGACAGACATACACACACACACACTGACAGAGACATATACACACACACTGACAGACATATACACACACAGACACATAGATGCACACAGGACACACTGACATATACACACACACTGACAGACATATACACACACAGACACACTGACAGACACACAGACACACTGACAGACATACACACACACACTGACAGACATATACACACACAGACACTGACAGAGCACACACACTGACAGACATAGATACACAGACACACTGACAGACATAGATACACAGACACACTGACAGACATATACAGACATATACACACACACTGACAGACATATACACACACAGACACACATAGATGCACACAGACACACTGACAGACATATACACACACAGACACACTGACAGACATACACACACACAGACACACTGACAGACATACACACACACAGACACACTGACAGACATACACACACACACACTGACAGACATATACACACACAGACACACTGACAGACATATACACACACACTGACAGACATATACACACACACTGACAGACATATATACACACAGATACACTGACCAACAGGTTCAGAAGGGGGGCTTACCTGGGATCCAAAGTGCTGCCTGAGGTAGTTGGGAGTTGGAGGAGCTGGTCCTGCCCAGCCCCCTCCTCTCTGCCTTCTGCTGCCCTAGTCTTGTTGGGAGGACTTCCTCCCATGCTGATTAGAAGGGGGCCCGTAGCTCCGCCCCTGCTGGGCGCCAGCCGCGCTGTGTGCTACAGAGGGAGCAGGGATATGACGTTCATATCCCCGCCCCCTCCACACAGTCCGCGGCAATGCAGGCTGGCGCTCGGCCACGCTACAAGTAGTGACCGGCAGGAGAGGGGCGCTGTGCGCTTCTCTCCTGCCGGCCACCCGGACATTTGCGCCCCCGGGCCGGTGCGCCCTAAGGCGGCCGCCTGTGCCGCCTTATGGACGCGCCGGCCCTGCCTCTAATAGCCATCTGAGTGGAGTGAAAAACGGCAGACATTGTGCTGCTTGGGTCATGGATGAAATGGTGCCCCCCCTTCACAAAACCACGCTCACCAAAACACGCCCATATCAATTATTTCACGCAGTGCCTGTGTTTATGTAGTGGATACTGTGTGTGTATTGTATGCAGTGTGTGTAGTTAAAGCAGTGTGTGTGTGTGTGTGTAATGGATGTAGAGTGTGTGTTCATGTAGGATGTAGAGTGTGTGTTCATGTAGTGGATGCAGTTTGTGTAGTGGATCCATTGTTTGTAGTGCATGTAGTTATTGTTGTGGTTTTGAATAAGTTAAATGTGTGGTTTTTATTAATGTATAACTATGTTTACCCACATGTAAGAGACAGGGAGGGGGGATACTAGAGTCCCTGGTGGCAGTGGCGTACTAAGGGGGGGCAGAGGGGGCGGTCCGCCCCGGGTGCCAGCAGGGTGGGGGGTGCCTTGGGAGGGGGCGCCGCCAGGAGCGCCGGCCCCCCTCATGCTGCAGCCGCCCGAGCGCTCTGCAGAGAGCCTCAGGCGGCTGCAGCTTTGCCCGCCCGGGCGCAGCCTGAGGACAGGGGCTGACAGGAGGGAAACGCTCAGCGCTCCCTCCTGTCACTCCCTCCGTGTAGCGTGGCCGAGCCCTCTATTGGTCCGCGGGTACAGGGAGCATCTGTCTTCTGTACCCGGCCGGACTAACAGGAAGTGTACACACAGTGTAAGTCCGGCCGGGTACAGGAAACAAAAGCTCCCTGTACCCGCGGACTATAGAGGGCTCGGCCACGCTACAACAATGGTAGGGGGGGGGAGAATAAGGAGAGATTGGGGGGAGATAAGGAGAGATGGGGAGGGGATAAGGAGAGATGGGGAACAAGGAGAGATGGGGGATACAGGATGGGGAATAAGGAGAGATGGGGAATAAGGAGAGATGGGAATTGGGGGGAATAAGGAGAGATGGGGAGGGGATAAGGAGAGATTGGGAGGGGGATAAGGAGAGATGGGGGGATAAGGAGAGATTGGGGGGATAAGGAGAGATTGGGGATAAGGAGAGATTGGGAGGGGGGATAAGGAGAGATTGGGGGGAGATAAGGATAGATTGTAGGAGGGGGGGGATAAAGAAAGAAATTGGGAGGGGGAGAATGAAATTGGGAGGGGGAAGGAAATTGGAGGGAGGGATAAAGAAAGAAATTGGGAGAGGGGGATAAAGAAAGAAATTGGGAGGGGGAGAGAGAAGGAAATTGGAGGGGGGGGAGAAGGAAATTGGAGGAAGGGAAAGATTGACATTCATCACACACAATGCACCCCGTGCACACAAAAAAACACACAATGCATTACACACACTGCATTACACACACAGACACACATACACAAGCAATGCAACCGTTACACACAATGCATCCCTTACACACATAGAAACACACAATGCATTCATTACACACACTCAATGCACCCCTTACACACACTCAATGCATCCCGTACATACACAGAAACACACCTTGCAGCCCTTACACATACAAACACAGATTCACACAATGCATTCCTTACACACATATCAGGACATCCCCTACACACTCCACCCCCTGTGAACAAACTCATTGGTGGAACATGAAGGTGAACCCCTGGGACCCAGACCTTGAGCTGTGTAAAGGGCCCCCAAAAAATGGAGCTGCTTCCCGTTCTCCCAGAACATTGATTTTTGTGACCACAGTTACAAACCGCCTCCAGAGAGCCTGTTGTACACCAGACCAGTGGAGCCAGACTGCAGCCAGAGCCCATCATCATCCTCATCTGGTTATAAGAGGGTGCCAAGCACAGGATCCACCCCGGGTGCCAAATGCTCTAGGTACACCCCTGCCTGGTGGTCAGGTGGCACATCAAGTTGTATTGTAAAGGGGGGTTTAGAAGTTTAATTTTCACGTGAGTCGCAAGAGAATTTCTGTGAGTTGCCATGGTAACGCTCCAGCATGCATTGTGTGTCATGCAAAGCGTTGCCATGGGAACCTGCTCAAAGCTCTTGTGGTTTGCAAGTGGACCTGATGCTGATTGAGGTGGAGAATGAGAATATACAGGTACCAAGTAGACAAACATTTTTCTGTTGTAGACACTTGAAAGAGTTTGTATAGAGTTAGTAAATTTAAGACCGTTTTTTGGCTTTTATGAAAGTCAAAGGTAAAAATTTAACTGTAATGGGTTTCTACAAAGCTTTATTTTCAATCCAATACATAGGCTTGAATATCTATAGAGTTAATCCTTTTATCCCCCCTCCCGACTACACTACATCTAATTGTCCCCCTAGTCACCCCCAAATGCCCCTAAGCCCCCCATATTACCTTTTTGTAACAGAACTGTCTGTATATGGATTACAATTATTTTCCCTCCATTCGTCTGTTTGTTCGGTTTATTTCCCTGCCGGTACAGTCCCTATGTGTTCCCCTGTGAAACTACTGAAAGCCGCACGAAGGCGCGACCACTGGGAAGCTGGCGTGTGCCTCCAATTGATCTCCCTGCAACTAGCGTGTGCCGTCAATTGATCACCCAGTAGCTGCGGTTAACTGCAGCTTAATTGACTGTTCCCGGGTGGTCGCGGTTACACCTAGCTGCCACACGATGGCGGTGTTCTGCAGTCTCTGGCACAACCAGCAGTGCTCAGCCAGCACTCTGTGAGCGGAAAGCGGACACTTTCACTCACCAAACACCGCTGAACCTCCATCGCCAGTTATTCAGCCGAACGCCGGCTTTCGGGACTTTGTATTGTATGAATGAGGGTACCCAGATAGCATGCCATGGAGTCTGTTCGTGTAATTAAAGACTTTGGCTCCATGGCAATTAAACTGTATTCGTGTGGTCTGAGTGCTATTCTGTATTAATGTGCGTTCCGACCTGAGCTATCTGGGGATATGTTACATGTGTATAATTGTTGCATTATTGGTCACCTCATATATCTTATTGCCTTTTTCTGTATCGTTGTCCCCAGGTGTGTAATGGTGATTTGCCTCTGTTCTGGGAGATAATTGGGTTACTTCCCAATTATCTCTCGGACAGAGAGGGAGGAGTTGTGGTGCATTGTGGGGATATTTTGTATCTGTGTGTCAGGATCTGCTACGTGTCTGTCCCTTGTCACAGTTTCCCAACTGGTCCCCTAGGGGAGTGTCCACCAGGAGGGAGACCTGCATAAATACTGGGCATGTAGCCCTCAATAAACCAGAATCCTATTTTACCCTCAATACAGAGCTTAGTCTCATAATTGGGGGGGATTTACTGTACGCGGTTAGAGACTGATTGCTGTGAATGTAAGCCGCTTGGATGCTGTGTCTGCTCGTCTGTTAACAGCTATTCGTGGGATTACCGTTCGGGAGTTTGGAGTGCTACTGGGTATACTGTTCAGGAATTTGGAACAGTCCCCTGGTTCCAGTTCAGGAGTTGGGGGTCCTACAGTAGCTGTGCCTGTACCTCCGCAAAAGGGAAGCTCTACTAAACGGCGGTTTAACCCCTTTATGCCGGGAAAGCCGTAACACTTTTTTTAAATCCTTATTTTCTGCCCAGACCTAGGTCCTGGGTGCCACCATCTTTGTGTGGGCAGATGAAGTCCCTCTGGGACACATTATCTGCCCACACTAAATAACGCTGTGAAACTCACGCGCATGTCCAGTTAAACACTTGGGCATGCGAACAGGGATTTCATCTATTCATTCATTCGTCAGAAAGACAAATACATGAATAGAAATTTAAAATGAATGAACGAAGACCTCTTAGTGTGTTCATTTAGTTTATTACAAGGAGGGAGCTACCGGCGCGCGGCTTCCTCCTTGTGATATGTAAAAATAGAAACGACAGGGAGCAGTGCTACCTACCTCTTCCTAAGCCCCCCATGTCCTCCCTTACTTTATGGGGTCAATATGAGCCCCTTAATAGCATAAGGGAGATTAAAATCTCCCGAGTGCCCCTACGCGCTATGCCAGTGGCTGCTCACTAACAAATGCCCCACATGGTGTCGCGAGTGGGGGCTATAAAAGTAAATGGCGGACATAGGGTACCCCTTGGCCCCCACCCATCACCCATGAGTGGTGGATGGGGGCCCTAAATGAGAATGGAGGGAGGACCTATTGTCCTAGCCCTGGCCCCCACCTTTGAGCGGCGGGTGGGGGCCATAAATTACAATAAGGAGGACCTATTGTCCTCCCTCCTGGCCCCCACTCATGAGCAGTCGGTGGGGGCCCAAAATAACAATAAAGGGGGAACCTATTGTCCTCCCCCCCAGCCCCAGCCAATGAGTGGCTGGTGGGGGCCCTAAATGAAAATGGGGGGTGGACCTAGTGCCATCTCCTCGCCCCCCACCCCTGAGCCGCGAGTGGGAACCCTAAATTAGGTCTCCCCCTAATTACATTAGGTCCCCGCCATTTTCATTTAGGGCCCCCACCCGCCACTCAGGGGTGGGGGCCGTAGGGGCGATGATACATCCCCGCCATTGTCATTTAGTGCCACCACCTGCCGCTCAGGGGTGGGAGCCGGGGGTGGGGGCAATAGGTCCCCCGTTCAGTTTAAGAGCCCCCACTCGCCTGGCACGGGTGGGGGCTCGGGAGGGGGGATACTATGTTTTTTTTGTTTTGCTTTTAACAGTGATATAGCGGGTAGGGGCAGAATTTACTAATACTAAGTAATTTTTCTTAGTATTAGTAAGTTTGGCTGAAAGACCAATTTAGGTCTTTCAGCCTTTTGGTAGATAGCATCCTAATAAGGTGGGAATTTGGGAGTTTTCTACTATGCGGCTGCAAGATTCAGCCGTGGCACAAATTGGATCGGAATTTAATTCATTAGAATGAAACTTTGAACCAACCTAAAAGTACCGAATGTCGTCCTAAAATGAATGAACAAACTGTTCTCATTCTGTTAGTATGAAATTCGGTAGCTTCGCCAGCGTTCTGTCTAATGTTCTGGATGACAGGATGTTCGGGAATACTGACATGAAGCATCACAAGATCACAGAGGAAAGGTAAGAATTGTGGGAAAATTGCTTTGACTACAGGAAACGGAGCACACTTCATTCCTCCGCTGGTCAAAACTGGTCAAGCATAGGAAACCTCAATAAAACAAAGTAGTCCCTATTTTGTCTTATGTTTTAAAGAAAAATAAAGCAGACAGGAAGAAATGAAGAACAGATCCTGTCAGAGGGAGAGAAGAGGAATCGCTTAAAGAAAGGTAAGTTCTTTAATACTCTAAAAATTATCTTAGATCCCACCAGTAGCAATCCTATAATATTCTTGGAAATATTCCTGCTGGTTATTTGTGATAATGACTTCCTTAGGGCATCTGACCAAGACCTTTTTGTACTTGTGAAATTCAGGATCAAACACGGAACAATGGGTGTGGCCGATGTCATCATCTGTATAAATCATAGTTTCCAAATTATGCAAGACTCCTAACAAGTACTTTGCTGTGTGCTGTACAGCAGATGCAATCACAGTTGTAGGTGCCTTCCTAAGGCAAATATTGTTTTGTCAATCTTTATTTTCACGTGCAATGATGTACAACAAACTTATAATACCACAACAGCGATTACAAGCTTTTCAGTTACAGAAGTAATAGAACAGTGTCATTTCATTCAGAGTAACTGCACATTTTAGTATAAAGTAAATCAAGATTATGAAGAGAATTATAAACATTAACATTAGAACAAGAGAAGCCAAAACATGCTGGGTAAGCCTAAAGTCGTCAAGATCTTCTGGTCTACGTGAAATTGTATGTTTGCAGTCGCATAGTTAGGTTAGAGTGAGAGACTTCTCTGTGCAAAAGGAATAATATGAGGAAAGTAAAATAAAATAAAATCAGACATGCGTTGTCAGTTAGCAAGAACCAAACAGATGTACCTGTCTAATCGATGGTTACTAGATAGGTGACAGACAGGTGTAACTGGTGATGTACTCTCACTGGATGCAGTACGACTGAGTGCAACAGAGAAAGGGAGTAGGTGGACCACTGAGGCTAGGAAGACTGTTTGGCATGTGCATCTACATGCTACAAACTGCATCAGAGAGTTCAACTAGGTATTTGTCTTATTGTTAGAGTGGTATTAGAGACAGGGCCGTCTTTAATATTGATTGGACCCTGGGCAAGCATCTGCCTGGGCCCCCTGGGCATGCAATCACTCCCTCCACCCCAACCTAGAGGCGAAACTAATGTAGAGAGCGCCTTGGTGCAAAAAAATAATAATTCAGGCCTGCCCTGTAGCACAAGAGTAAAGAAAAGATAGATCCCCATCTGTCATACAACTCCTGCGATGCTATGCCAGCTGGGGATCTTCCATCCTTGAGGGGTTGTATTTTTGAGCAGTGTTTGTGCAATTGAATGTCAGCATGTTATTGTATAGAGTGTATGTGTGCATGTAGGGGTGTATTTGTATGTACTGTTACCATTGGAATGCAGTGGTGTACTTGTGTTTGCGTTTGAATGCAGTAATGTGTGATTGTCTGTAGTGTTGGCTTTTAAATGCAGGTGTACTTTTGTGTGTAGAGTTGGTGTTTGTATATAATTTTAGTGTTTTAATACAGGAATGTGTTTGTATGTAATGTTTGTATTTGCATGCAGGGGGTTGTTTGTATGTAGTGTTGTGTACATTTGTGTGTAGTATTGGTGTTTCAGCAAACTGGTGTGTTTGTATGTAATGTTTGTGTTTGCAGGGCTCTGTTTGCATGTTGTGTGATTTCTATAACACATATACACATACACATTAACACGCAGATACACACATAGGCACACTGACACATGCTCACACCTTGACACATACTGGCACATACACACACACACTCAGATACACACCCTTTGACACACATATACAAGCACTTTGATACACACACACACACTGGCACATCCACACACAGAGGTACACACACACACTGACACAGGTATGTACACACACACTCAGATACACACATACATAAAGGTATAAATGCAGGGGTGTATATGTGTACAGTGCTAGAGATGGAGTGTATTTGTGTTGGCATTAAAATGCTGGGATGTATGCATTACCACACACTCAGATGCACACTTACACACACTGACACATACATACATACACACACACACAAACACACACACAGGTACACATACACACTGACACACAAGTACACATACACAGGTATACATACACACAGAAACACTGACACACAGACAAACACAGCCAGATACAATCACTGACACAAACACAGCCAGATACACACACTGACACAAACACAGCCAGATACACACAAGGACATAAACACAGCCAGATACACACACACATATATGTGTACATTTACATATTTTAATCTCTGCCTTCTAGCAGCTCTTGGACAGAAACTCCCAGCAACCTTGGCCATAATAATGTCTCAACTCTGTTCTTACATACCCTGGTCCAGAATTTGGCAAAAGTGACATTTGGAAATGGTATACAGCCTTTGATAACACTTGATGCAATAATATGTTAAAATAAATACTTTTAAAATTTATATTTAATAGGGAACTGTCAGGT